AGAGGCTGTTTTCATCATTGCTGGGGATTTTAACCAGGCTAACTTGAAGACTGTTCTCCCTCATTTCTACCAACATGTGGACTTTGCAACTCGGGGTGAAAACACTTTAGACCTGGTTTACTCTAACATCAAAGATGCATTCAGAGCAGCCCCCTGCCCCCATCTCGGTTCGTCAGATTTCCTGTCTGTCATGCTTATCCCTGCATATTAGCCCCAGTCAATCAGGGCTAAACCGACAGTTAAAGAGGTCAGAGTGTGGTCTGAGGGCGCCATGAAAACACTCCAAGATTGTTTTGAATTCTCTGGCTGGAACATCTTAAATCTAAGGCTAAGTCATAAGGTCTCCCATCCCATGCTGGTTCAGCTGGTGCTGAACTGGACAGCTCCTTCAGTGACAGACTGCTGCACCTTAAATCCACCAGGGAGCGTTATCACAGATCCTGAAATTACGTAATGAACATGAAATATCCTATTGCTCTTTTACTCATTTTATTTTGAAATATCTATTTTTTGATCTGTTAAATATCGTCTTTATTTCAGGAAGTTGCTCCTGCTCTAAATAGCAGCAGAGATAAGATTTACGAAAAGAAAGAGTCAGCGTATTTTCAAGCTTCAAACTTTATATCCTAAAATTAGAAAACTGCTAAAAGCCAAACAGAAGAAAAAAAAATAGAATTAGAAATATAGAATCACATCATAGATAGACCTTTTTAGAAACTATACAACATTTCCTTTTATTTTAAATGCATCCCTGTCCACTGAAAGAAAAAAAACAGGCTGAAAAAATGACAGTTTGTGTCTAAAACAATGTGTTAGAGGAAATACAAGAAAGAAACGCGTTTATTCAGTAAAAAACCAACAAGAAGTTATCAGAAACATTAAAATCAGAATGACGAAAAACATAAAAACTGCAAACATCAGAATCAGGTGTGAACGTTTAGAAGTTCATAATCTTGGCTTTTATTAGAGGTAAGAAATATTATTCAATCCTAAAATCCTAAATTTGATGCCGAGTAAAGAGCCAGGTTTCTGTTCCCGTCATTTCATCTTTGGTGCTTTTCAAAACAACCGGGTTTAAAATCCTTTAAGGTTTATTTTAGTCCAGATGGAACACATGTTCATATATGACGAACCTGCAGGAAGGTTGCAGAACAGGAAGCCTTGCTTCTAAGAGGTCTGCTACATCATCAGTCAGGTAAGGAAAGACAGCGCTCTCTTCATGGTTGGAGAAATATCGGAGTTTCCAATGGAAATGTGGGCGCAGGTCTAGGAAGGCCAAGAGGAAAGGAGCTACCAAAGTATCTTTATCCATGAAGATTAAAAAGTCCCAAAGGAAAGATTCTGATGAGTGTCAGTAATCAAAGCATTTCATGATGGCGTCTCTGTCAAATTTAAAATTCAGGAAAGTCTTGGAGGAAAACGACTCTCTGTCCTCAGCTGTTAGATGGCGACTGGAACAGCTTGGATCCGAGTCTGGAAGAAAAAAGGAGGTAATTTCAACCAAAATTCAAAACCATCATTTCTAACTGAGATAACGTCCCTAACAAACCACAGCTCTGAGGATATCCATGTTTTTAGGCCCCAACATGGACCACAATAACGCACCTACTAAAGTCCCCAACATGGCCACCAATTACACCCCTAACATGGCCCCCAATAACGCCCCTAATATAGTCCCCAACATGGCCCACAATGACAACCCTAACATGGCCCCCAATGACACCCCTAAAATGGCCCCCAATAATGCCCCTAATATAGTTCAACATGTCCCCCAATAACGCCCCTAATATATTCCCAACATGGCCCCCTATGACACCCCTAACATGGCCCCCAAAAACGCCCCTAATATAGTCCCAACATGGCCCCCAATAACGCCCCTAATATATTCCCAACATGGCCCCCTATCACCCCCCTAACATAGCCCCCCAAAACCCCCCCAATATA